ATCGTAATAAACTGACTGTTTATATAACTAACAGCATAACTAATCATTATTGATACTTTGAATTAGCGTTGTTTTCGAACAATAATTATTGATCTAATATTATTGTCATTAAATGAAATTTTCATATAAAATTTACAAGAAAAATAAAATATTATTATATTTCTTAATTATTAATGCAAAGATGAAAATACGTCAGTAGTATTTATTGATTTAGTAGTAATATTGTTTTCAAGCTGTTAAAACTTTTCATTCAGTATTGTAACTCTAGTTGACTGATTATCTATTAAAAATATCTTTATAAAGTTTTCAATGATAATACTTATTATCAATACTATTATAAACAATGTTGTTTCATTTCCGAGACTATGAACCGTATGATTCAACAGAAAAAAAAGAACAGTCAAACTTTATGGTCTACAAAATTCTCTCTATAGAAAAGGTTATGAATTAATTTGCATTATATTTTTTTATTCATTATTCAAATATTCTATGCCTTGTTCGTATTTATATATACATATAAATATTAATGAAAATATTCATCATGATATATTTCATATTAGTTGAATGTAATCACACTATCATTAAGATATTTAATACAAACTTTAAATTCTTCATATATTTCGACATACGGTATACCGTATTCGAAGGAACCATTGAACATTATTAACAAGATTATGAAGTATACAAAAATCATATGTTTCAACATTGTAAACAACATATATTTTAACTCAAATATATATTTTGTTTTTCTCTATATACCCAACAAAAAAAAGACAACATCATACGTCACTAAGGGAAAAAAACAAATATTTTATGAAAATTATAAATGATGTTAATATTCTATTAATATATGGTGTTTTGATCAAAAATGAATATAAAGTATTTGATTTTCTTTGCGTAGTGAAGGATTCACATACATTAAAAAAATCAAGTAAGATTTATATTTATTAAGACAATATGGATTATTTATTAAATACAAACTAATTTTTACTTCGTGATAGAGCTTGTAAAATCTCGACAGGTATAGGAAAGACAATTGTTGAATTACGTTCAGCAGCAATTTGTGTTAAAGTTTGTAAAAGTCTTAATTGTAAAGCTACAGGTGATTCATTAATAATATCGGCTGCTTCTTTTAAACCTCGACTTGCTTTCATTTCACCTTCAGCTGCAATTATTTTTGCTCGTGCATCACGTGATGCTTCAGCTTCAGCAGCCATAGCTTTTTGTAAAGCTACAGGTAAACGAACATCTTTGACTTCAACACGTTCAACTTTAACACCCCATGGATCAGTAGCTTCATCAAGACCAGTCTATTTTGAAAACACGAAAAAAAAAACCGAATGCATGATATTTATTAAGAATAATATTTACTTGAATAACTGTATCAATCTTATCACGTTCAGCAAGAATTTCTTGAAGTGTTTTCGTACCCAAAACCTAAAATTAATTTTCAAAAATTTATTCTAAAGAAAAAAAAAAGATTAAATCTATTTAATTACATTTCGTAGTGTTGTTGCTGCTAAAAGTTTTGTTGATTTAGCTGCATCTTCAACATTGGTTATTGATATAACAGCATTAAATATTCGAAAATAAACAACAGCATCAACAGCTACTGTTACACTATCTCGTGTTAGAATTTCTTGTGGTGGAACATCAAAAGTAACCGTTCGAAGGTCAACTTTACTGTATGTATCAATACATGGTAAGATAAAAAATAGTCCTGGTCCTAAATACAAAATCATTTATAATCTTATGTCAAGAAAATTATTAAATTGATTTAGCAATCATCTCTATAGATATTAGTTTCAAGCGATTAGACATCTGTTATTACACAAATGGATATTTTCAACTCAAACTAAAGATGCCATCTGTTCTAATACTCATTATACAATGAATCTTCAAGATGATACATTACTTGAAGAACAAAATATTAATATAAGAATCTTCGGAAAAAAATAAAGATATTTATAATAATATATCCTTGAGTTTCTTTTTTTATTTTAAGTCTTGATTGAAATCTATGACTAATGATCTTTCTATTATTAATTATTATTTGTTTGAGTTAACATGACAATATAACGACATACATATATATATGTACATTCAATAAGCTACTTACCACGTGCTCCATCAGCTAAGATTCGACCTAATCGAAAAATTACAGCTCGTTCGTATTCTTGTACAACCTTTAAATTATTTTTAAAAAAAAATTCATTGTTCTTTTTTTTCTGTCTTGATTAATAAAAACAAATCATATACATACTTTTAAACAAAAACATAATGATAATGGAAATGTAATAATGACAAGGAAATAACTTAATAAAACAAGTATGCCAAAAAAATAACCTGATTGTTCACGTTTGTCTTGGAGGTCTAAAAATGAGACGAATTTAACTCATCGCTTCTTAATCATAGATTAACAATTCTTGTCTACAAATCTTTATATTTACAATAAAGAAAAAGAAATGTGAACCATATAAAATTTTTCTCTATTTAAGGCTAATAAAAAAAAAATAATTCAAGTAGAAAATTGATCATTATCGATTTATTATTAACTTACAACTACACTTTTCTATTCAGTTGCATGAGTAAATCAGAAAAGATACTTAAAAAAAATTTACCATATATACCCGAAAGAACATGAGTGACCGCTACAGATTGTTGATCCATATTATATCCCGATGATGGTATATGTTGTGTTCGAAAACTTGATATATGTTGCCTATCATGTCGATTATGACGTGATGAATTACGATAATCATCACGTTCTTCATTACGATGGCTCATCATTATGATGAATAGGTTTTCTTTTCTTCTTTCTCTTTATTTTCTTACTGATCCATTTGTTCTTCGATCGTTGTAAAATAGAAGCGAAAAATGTCGTATACACGCTCGTCCGATGCCAATGATTTCCTGTTATAATTGGCGAAACGTGCACATTTCCTCTCTCGGGGAATGGAACAGACAAACAGATATACAATACACTCTCTTTTTTTCCATCTGTAAATCTCGCTTTGCGTGCTCAACAACATAGATATATAGAGAAAGTTTACCAGGCATCGTTTCAGCAAATGTCACTCTCGAATGGATATAGCCTTTTTTCTTTTTTATTAGTGTCTTGTAATTACTAGGTTGTTTCGCTTTTATCATGTGATAATTAAGGTAAAGAAGAAGCTATCAGTAAACATGAAAGCAAGAGATAAATGCAAAACGATTTTATATAGAGGATAAGTTCCTATATGTTGTTTTTTCTTGTTCTCTCTTTCTCTCTTTAGGCTATTATTAGCTTTCTATTATGACATATGCGATAGACCATAAAATTAACTGAAACTGTTTATACATGATAAAAATGATCGTAAAATCCTCATTATATGTTGAGACAATATTTATATGTTATTTGTAGAAGATTAATTGTATCACACTTTACTCTCTGTCTATTACCTAGATTATTAACTAATTATCACGTTTTCTTTTGTTTTTTTGTATTTCATTAAGAAGTTTTAATTCGAAAATTTTCCAATGATTAAATTTTCATAGAAAAGCAATTAAAAAATTTAAGCAAAAAAAACAAAATGATTTTTTTTCTCAAATTCACATACCATCTGTAGGTCGCTGTACGTGTACTTGTGGAGGAATAAAAAATGAATATCTCGAAAGACGTCGAGCAACATTTCCATCATTTCGCTGACTTGCTTGTATCATTGGTGTAAGATATTCGTCAGCACTTAAAGAACCAAATTGTGTTCGATAAACATCCGCTCGATCTGATCCACGACGTATACCATATTGTGCCGAATATGTAAAACCATTATGAGATGCACTGCCAGTTTCAGCATCTAACAGTGATGTATCAAGCATGCCATGCATAGGTAATAGATACTAACACGAACACCAAAATCTATTGTTGTTGTTGTTGTTCTTTTCTATGATTGTCAAAGTCACTCGATTCTAGTTGTACAAAGTTATTAACTACGCACGCTATTTTCCGACTAGTGTGTTGGCTATAGTATGTTGTCGTCACCTGCTATCAAGGGATTTTTCCATTCATTTTAAGTATATCTATGTAGATATATATATGTATTATTTCACGCCCAGTTTCCTCGATAAGTGTCTTCATCGTGCAGATTGACATAAGGAGATATAGAAATTTTTAGAGCAACGAAAGAATTAGAGAGACAGAAAAAATTTTCACCGGAAGAATTTGCTAGATAATTCGTTAATTTTCTCTCATACGTTCTTTCCTCGTTTTTCTTTTTTATTTTTATCTACAGTTCTTCTTTTTTCTATCTTCTTATTGCCTTATTGTTAATAATGATTTGTAACGAACTTATTATATTTGTCAAAATTTTCTTATCTTATTTCTTCTTTTTCTTGCCTTTAGTTTCTGCCTTCCGGAAAAAAAATTATTATGAATAGAGTTACTTTACTACCGGCAAGTTCAAGAAGATGAATTATCATTCAACCATTCACTACTATAGATCTAATTTTTTTTTAGATCAAACGCATAGGAAAGACAGAGAGGGAGAGAGTGGGCAAGTGAAAGAAAGGAAAATAAGTGTATTTTTTTCTTCTCCTTATTCTATAGTGAATTCAATATATTGAAATGGAAGCAACATGTAGAATAATCATAAATCGAATTATGTATTCGTCAGAATTATCTTGATGATCACGATCTTCTTTACAATCGCTTCAACACTTTCATATATGTCAACATTTGTTAAATTAAATAAGAAACTAGCAAAAAAAAAAAATCTTAGATGTCAGTATAAAACAAATGTATGCTTTTTACAAGATCTACTTGATTGATCAAGTGTATGATTTCTCGGCGAGAATGATAAAAAAGATATGTGTCAGAAACGATACTAATTTATTTAGTCTAAATAGTTCAACGATACAAGCAAAAAGACAGTTTTTTTTTTCTATACAAATCAAGAAATAAAAAGAAAAGATATTCTTTCGTTAATATAATGTAAGAATTTTCTATTCAATTCATCATATCAATTAAGAAATGTTTACATCAATTAAAATCAATATCGCATCAATTATTCATGATATAAATGAATGTAAAATACTATAAATATTGTATATTTGAGCAATGTATAACATTATGAAATTTTTTTTTATCATGTCAACTGCAATCTCATCTCCAAATATGATCTTAAAAATTAAAACTCGACCTTCAACGCCTATGAAACGTCGTTGTTTAACATCACTTCAATGTAATGTAAGAAATAATATTAATATTCAACAAGGATTACTTGATCTTATTGATCGTCTAAAAAATTCAACTGATTCATCAACACAATTACTTATACGTTTATATCATCATAAATCTGTTCGTCTTAATGATCAACCAGAAAAATTATATTTATTTCAACAAGAAATTTATTCTGGACTTCGTCGATTACATCCATCAATTATAGATTCTTCGTTATTAAAACAAGAAAATCAATTGTATATTGTTCCACAACCTATTATTACAAGTCGATCTGCACAAGCTACTATTCGAAAACTTCATTGATTTACGTTCTTTTTTTAATTTTAGTTTTCAATAAGCAATTGTTATTATTTTTATAATAAAAGAAAAATTCTCTTAATAGATTTTTTTTGTCTAAAGAAAATGTTTTGTATATGTGGTTGAATCGATCAAAAGATTTTTTTCTTTTCTTATTCAATCATAATAATTTTAAAAAGAAAACTTGAAATACACCTTCTTCACCTTTCTTTCAATTTTGAAAAAATAAAAATTGAAAGAGAGAAAAAAAAGAAAATCCATGGTTATATTTCTTTTTCATACGTTGTTTTCTTTTTTTATTCAACCTCAAGCAAACAAAAATTAACAATAATACGTATTAGTATAAATGCATTACAGACAAACATTCTTTTGTTGTCGTTCGAATAAGTTTTAAAAAAATCGAAATCGGTATAGAAGAAAAGAAAAAAAACTTCTTAATATGTTTCCATCTGAGGTAAAAGAAAAATAAAACCTGGAAGAAGAAGATTATTTAGAATAATTTTATTTTTGTTTGAAATAATTAGAGTTTAAATGATATTGTTGAAGATCCAACATGGGAATTAGGTGATGATGTTTATCTTGAAGATGATTATATTGAAGAATCACAAGTAGAATTAGGTGAAAATGAAATTGATCAAAAAGAAGTTATTGATCGAACGAGTACAAGTCATTCAGTTCGAATACCAACAACAAAATCAATAAGTTCCTCAGTACATGGTGATAGTAAACGTGTTCGATTAAAAAATCCACATCAACAATTATATACTTATGGTAGTGTATCAGTTAAACGTGATCCAGCTATTGAATCAATAATTGAATCAAGACAATTTTCTATTATTGAAAATGGTTATACACGTTTAGCACAAACTACATCACAACCAACTAAACTTTCACAACGTTCAAATCCATTTGAAGTTCCTATATTAACAGAATCAGATACAGACATTAAAGTTAGAAACTTTACTTCTCAAAATAAAAAAAAAATATCAACATTACCAACAACTGAATTAGATAATCAAGGATGGGATGATGCAGTAATTGTAGAACATGAAAAAGGTAAATATAGAATCTATTGCAAAAAAAAAACAAAATGTAATTCTATGTATATATATATATCCTACTGATGAGTAGAACCAATCGTTTTTGCTCTCAGTCAGAAAAACGTTTTGATCCTCGTTTCGCACTTAGTAATACATGTACTAGCGACAGATGCGATATCATTTTCTAGCAGTGTCAATGAGCTCGAGACATCTTGCACGATTCGCATGACCTGCAATATCCTTCCTTGAAGAGAATTTTACTATTAAAATTGTAACGGCAAAAATATTGAAACGATCGTAAAAGATATCATTTTGTAATGAAAAAAGTGTTAGTTCCAATCTCGGAAGTATACTACCTCTATTCATTTGTTTTTTCAATAGAAAGTATGTCAGGATTAGATAAATCATGTGTACAAATATATGAAGAAACATGTACACGTTTAAATATTTGTCCTTGTTCAATCATTGTTCGATCATTAAATACAACAGAAATAAATTTACGTAATTATGGACTTGGTCCACGAGGATGTGCAGCATTAGCAGCCAGTCTTATTGTAGGTTTTATTTTTCATTTCAATGTATCATTTTCAATTGTTAAAATGTATATTTAGCGTAATACAACTGTTCTATCACTTAATTTGGCATCGAACAATATTGGTAATGGCGGAATGGCATATGTCTATCGAATTCTTACAGAAAATATATATATTGAGGACTATGTATGTAATATATATATTTTAATATATGGTTAATTTCAAAGTGAAGTTTTAAGTCTTAATAGCTTCTAAAATACAGCTATTTTACGATCGAGCATCACCAATGAAGTTTAAGTCCCTTTTCCAAAAAAATTCAAAACTCAGCTGTGAAAAATTATTTTCATTTGAAAATTGCATTAGATATTCATGTGAATATTCTTTCGATTATTTACATAAACTATGAGGATTAACTAATATCATGATTCGAGAAATTCATCGGAAATGAATACACACGCACACACACTTGGAACATACATTGGAAGATAAGAATGAGGAACTAAGAATCATCCACTCTACTATATCTTTTATGGTTAATGTTCGTCATAATTCATGTAAAAATATAATAATTAAACTGTACAGGAAAAATATCTGCAGGTTAAATATTGCTAGAAAAGACTTCACTTACAAGCAAAAGTAAAAAACAATATTTGAGATTAGCTGACAAAACTGCAATATTTTTCTTACGTTTACGAATTATTCAAAAGAAAAAAGCATGCAAAATTCTGTACGTTGATCTTGAAAGGATTAAACAATATTTTTCTTTATTTTTATATTCAAAACAATATCAATGGATTTATTTTTAATCTTTTAAATCAATACTCAAACTTTGAAGTTTCCGAAAATGTTTATTTCTTCTAAGTACATATCAAAAAAATTTGTTGAATGTAGATTCTGTTATTTCTTATGAATATTTTAGACTTTATACTTTCAAAAACAAAACGAAAATTCGTAATATGACTTTAGACATTCCATTCTTTAATTTTTGAATATTTTTACATTATTTGTTATAATTAGAAAATATAACATCAAATTTTTTAAATAATAGAAAATATTTCCTTTTTTTTTCTAGGATCTTTCATTTAATAATCTCGGTACGAAAGGTATTCGTAAATTAGCTGATGCTCTTACTCAATGTGCTCAAATAAAAACTTTAAGTGTAGCTGGTTAGTAATAGAAATTTTTCGATTTTTATTATTAATATTTATTATTTCATATAGGAAATGAATTATCAGCTAATGATATTAAATTTTTACTTTCAAGATTAGAGGTAAATAACGTTTTTTGATTATAAAAAATAATATTAACAAAAAAAAAAATTATAAATAGGATCATCAAAGTTTGATAACTCTTAATATAAGTCATAATCAATTAGATGAAGTAGGTGGAAAACATATTGCTGAATGGCTAAGTAAATTATTTTTTTAAATTCAAGAAAAACAAAGAAAATGATATTTTTATTTTTTCAGCTGATAATAATATGTTACTTAATCTTGATGTTAGTTGGTGTAGTATTCGTTTAATGGGTGCTAAAGCTTTAGCTAAAGCAATTGGTGATAATAATAAATTAATATCACTTGATTTATCACATAATAGTTTTACAAATGATACAATTGAAATATTAACAAATTCTTTAACACGTAACATGTCATTATGTGAATTAAGTTTACATGGTAATCAATTGATATGTAGATATGATGCAACAATTAAAGAAAATCCATCATTATTAATTACTGGAAAAGATTCTCAAGTATATAAAATGATTGTATCTGCTGCAACAAATCAATCATTAAAAATATTTCGAGTACAAAAAAAAAAAAAATTTTGATGCTTTGATTTTTTCTTTTTTCTTTTTGGTTTCAGTTAGGACGAAATCATATTGATACACGTTGTTTAATGATAATATTAGAATCATTATCACAAATGAATAATATTACATTAGAAGAACTTGATTTAACAGTACGTCTTTTTTTTTTTTGTTCGATTTTCATGAAATTTATTTCATTGAGATATGACTTTGTTTCTTTTTCTTTCTTTCTAAGGGTTTAACAATCAGTGCAAAACAAATATCAAAAATTGATTTACTATTTTTAAATCATCCTAAATTAACATGTTATGTTGGACCAGTAAGACAAACAGTTGAACATTTTACAAATCATCTTTTAAATTTAATACATGCTTATTGTGAAGAACATTCAATTACTTTATCAGATATATTTAGTTCAAATGAAGGAACACGTACGACAATATCAATAATTACATATGAACAATTTCTTAATGGATTAAGAAAAGCAAAAATTCCATTTCCAATAGCTCGCATTGATGATATTATGAAATATTTGGTAAGTCTTTACTGTTTTTTTGCTTTCGTATTGTATTAAAGAAATAATAATTTTGATATAGGGACGAGATAATGAACCAGGACAGATTCCACTTAGGTTTGAAAAAAAAAGATTTTCGATTTTTTTTTAATGTATTAATTATTTTCTTTATAGATCAATGAGTATTGGTTAAATAATTGTGTTAAATTGCACTTTTAATATTTATTCTTCATGTACATTAATATTTATCATATCCTTCCTCATAACTGAGTAATTAATTAGTCATCATGTTGACGTATGTAATGATTCGTTTGATTCGTCTGAGTAATCTATTCATTTCATCAATATATTTCAGCATGTTAATAAACTTTTTGACTATTTAACGTGTTCTGTAATTAGAGACTTATTTTTAGTCATGACATACTCGACATATTCTTTCTTATTTTTTTCGTCTTCTTCTTCTTCTTCTTCTTTCTCCGTCATTCTATTTATTTGACATAGCATACCTTCATCGGTCATGCATTTTTTTTTATATATTCACTCATAATGAACACATGCGTATGTTTGACATGATGATTTTTCTTTCTAATAAATAAATGCTTTTTATTGACGTATTGCTGAAGAAAATGAGTAAAATTTATCAGTTATGATTTATTTTATTTGCGTAATTAACACATGCAATTGATAAGATTTATCGTTGGCACATCTCTTTTGGAATTTTAATGAGAGGCATACTTCTAATTAACAAGTAAGAAGAGCGAAACTATTTTTCTTTTCTATGAGAAATATATTACATAAAAACCGAATAGTTAAATGGAATGCGTAAAATCAGCTATGCTGTCAATAAGTTCTTCATAGACATATATATAGTAGCGACTGTCTATTAGTCTAGTAAACAATCACACAACAACACAAAAAAAAGCCAACGGTAAGAAACCGTGTGTATGTTTATGTAAGGGCATTTCTCGTATATTTTTTGAAAAATATAAACTTCGACATTTTTTCTTCCAAAAAATAAAACGTCTTAAAATAACTTGTTAGCTTGTATGAAGTGATTGAAAAAACATTTTAATAGTAGGCAAATATTAGATGATGTATTTTTAGAATTGAGAGAAGCAAAAAAAATTCTTTTTCTCTCATGAAAATAAAAAATGCGTTATATATCATTTGTATTTTAAAATTGCTTTATTCGTCATTTTATTCCAAAAAATAAAAAAAAAAAAAAGAAAACAAAAATGTCCTTCTTTTTTCTTCTCGAATAAATATGTTGTTTGATATCCGTCATAGTTTATAGAATGACAAATACAATCTTCCTTATCGATTGCTTTCTATGTTTTTCTTTTTCTCTTCTTCTTTGACTATATTTTTTTTAATATTATTTTGCAAGATCGGTTGTAAGTGAATAACATGCTGTTACGTATTATTAACAGAAATATTATTGGATTTTTATTTTATTTTGTTGATGTTTGTTGTATTTGACGCCTGGTTTTTTTATACTTAGTTATATATGGTGTGGCATTATTTATTTGTGCGTTTATAGTCTAAAGCATACGTATATACAATAAACACGAAGTAAGAGGAAAAAAAACAAGAACAGACGTCAGGACTATAACCCCTAGGAAAAAAATCTATGAAACAAGTTTACAGAGGGCGACATATGGTCAGTAGTTGGATAACTTTAATTTTACTGTTGTATAAGGAAAAAATTTTTATTCTAGTTTTTTTAGTTATATTGTTTTATCGTTAACGACTGTGTAATAGCTTCTTTTTTTTCTTCCTTATCTAAATTGTTTAGTAAGACAGAAAAAAAACATAATAAAACGAATAAAAAAATAAAAAAGAACGAATACTATTCGTGGTCATACATTTTCTAATCAAACTATGTTAAGAATGAGAATTATTTCAATAATGTAGATACAATCAATCATTCTATATTTTCATCACACCTTCAGGTTTGTATATTCTTTTTAAAAATGAATACAAAGACATAAATGTATATAAAATTCAAAAAAAAATTACCTTTTATTTTTGTTTTTTTGTTTTTTTAGAATTTTTGAAATATTTTCTACGATGTACGGGAATAACAATAGCAACAATTCAATGTGCAATCAAAATCAGATACCAAAAAATCTTCCATTAAAAAAACGTCGAGCTTATATTATTGATACACCAACAATTGATATCGACAATTCGAATAGTGGTCAACATGAACATTGTTCAACACATCATCAATCAACAACGATCAAACAGTAAATTCATAATTTTGTTTTTTGTCTTATTCAAGCGTTTATTTATAAATCGAATAAGAACAACAGTGATCTAGTTATTTGAGATAGACATATATTTAATATATATCTCTTACAAATGTAGGAAGAAAAAAAAAGCAGCTTGAAATAATATTTTCCATTAAGAAATGAATTTAGTTTTTCTTTTTCTTTTTTATTAAAAATGAATCTTTTTATATTTTCTTTTTTGAAGAACAATGTCTCAAGAAGATCCACTTCAAATTTATCTTCCACCAGCTGTTGCATCAACACCACCATCATCACCTCATTTAGAATTATTACGACAACATTATGCATATTTAATTGCTAATTCAACAAATAATCAACATGAAAATACATGTCCATCATCATCTTATGAATGTATTATGGCACAAAAAGTTCTTGCTCAACAATTTCTTGATACTTATCGAACAGAAATTGAACAATATCAAAATCAACAACAATATGGTTATAAAGTAGTTGAAGGTATTTCATTAAGGTTTTTGTTTTCTTCTTATTTTAAAAATAGTTTTTAAATAATTATATTTTTTAGATAAATCAAAAGAAACACATACAACAATAGATGAACATTTTCGAAAATCTCTCGGAAATAATTATGATAAATTTACAGGTGGATTTTTAACACCAGAAAATTCATCATCAAATAGTTCACCTACAGAACGAACACCAGGTTTGATTTAAAAAAAGAAACAAACCAACTTTTATCAAATAAAATTATTTTATATTTTATTTATAGTTGATTCAATTGAAGAACATTTTGCTCGATCACTTGGTAAATTTTGGCCATTGACAACATCATTAAATGAAGATAAAACATCATCAATAACAGAATCTGTTGTTGATGATCATTTTGCTAAAGCTTTAGGTGCAACGACATGGGAAAAATTAAAAGACAAATCATGACTATATTTTAATACATACGTAATTCTAGCTGTATTTTTTTTTCTGTCTGTTTGTTATCATATCTCTTCGTTTTTTCTTTTCTCTATCTATCTGATGACACCCGGTGTCAATGTATACATGACAAATAAATAAAATATATTTGTTTTAAAAATTAAAACAAAAAAAATTTAATAAATAGATGAATAAGTTCGATTGATATTTTCGAAATTTATATTATGTAGTTGATTATATTGATTTTTTGTTTTATGTTTAGAAGATTTTTTAGCAGAAAAATTCATTGATGAAGATGGATTAGAATAATATGGATTTATTATTATACCAGGAGATGGTCGTCCACGAAAATCTGGTTGATTTAATGATGATTGACATAAATAATCGCACTTACTATTATTTATATGGGATAGATTATGAGCTAAAATTGAAAGAAATTATTATAAACAAAAAAAGAAACGTAATCGATATCCTAAATAGATCTGTTCATTTTAAAAGATAATTACAACTATTTATGAATTCGATTAAACGAAAAAAAAAGAGATGCTTACAAGTGTCAACATTGTTTCGCGTACCAGGCATAAAGTCAGTATAATTAGGTGGTCGAACAAATCCACCAGATATCATCATATTAGGTGGAGCAAACATAGCTAAAAGTTCAGATGCATATATTCAATTAATCGACAAACATAAACATACGTTGAATAGGTGGTCCAATAGGTGCTTGTGGAGGACCACTGCTCGAATGACATGGCATTGGATAACGAGGTACGAAAGGTGGATGAACGAATGTATAAGGCGACTGATTATATGAATGCATCATAGGTGGTTGTTGTTGTTGCAAATACGGATTCGATGGTGGAGGTTGTGGATGTTCATTTTGTACCCGAGCAAAGCCTAGAATATAAAGAATAAAATAAAATTTTAATAATATATTGATAATGTAATCAACAATTTTATCCATTATTTTTTGATTATTAAAGTTAACGACAAACATAAAGTATGTCAATAGAATATAGGATAAAGTTCTAACCTTTTGCAACAATTTCAAGATTACGTGGCATCATAATTCTTGTTGATGGAGGTATCATTTGATTGTATGATTGTGAAGAAGAATAACTAAAATTATCGAACCTAATTATCATTTCTAAACGAGAAAAAAAAACAAACGGATTATTATTCTGAACAGATGTTTGATAATATTGATTATTATTATTATTATTATTATTATTTATTTGTTGTTTTTGAGTTAATGCATTAACACTTAATGTTATCAAAATTTCATCACCATCACGTGCCTAGAATAATTTTCTTTCAAAAATTATTAACTCAAATATCAAAAAATAAACCATTTGTGATAATGATTGTAATTGTTGTTGTACAGACATATTATGTAGATGTGTAGTTTTATCTACAACAGAATTTTGAGGATTTGTTTGTAATTGTTGTTGAACTTGAGAAAGATGTGCAACTATTTTATAAAAAAAAAAATTCATCAATCGATCTATTAAATATTGATACTTGCTATTTGATTGTTGTGGAATATGAACATTAGATGGATCAGGCGTAATAAGACCATTTGTAGATGATCCACCTGACTGTGGTACAGGTATAGAAAAAGATTGAAATCCATTTATTTCTACTGGAGAATAGGATGGTGATTTCGGATTATTGAAATTTATACGTGTTGGATTGATTAAAGCTGGTGAATCTACAGCATTATCTGAATCAGTTGTTGTTGTTGTTGTTGTCGTTGTTTCTTCAATTTGTTTTGTTTTATCTTTGTGTTTTTTTGGTTTTTTCTTTTTCGCTTCATTATCTTAAATAAGATATCATTTCAAAAGTTTCAAGAACAAAAAAAAACCCTCATTCATTACTAATTACCATTGTCTTTTTTTTTCTAAAATTAGTTATATTTAATGAGAGAAAATATCATATTTTTTTTTCTTAAAAACTTACATCATCTTTTTTTTCTAGAATAAAAACAAAAGAAAAATTAATGATTTCTTTTGTATAGTTTTAAGACAAGATAAAATATAACTTACGTTTATTTTCATGAGAATCTTTTTTTTCTTTATCAATAGATTTTTCTTTTCTATAGAATATTAAAATATAAGAAAAAAAAATATGAATTAAATAAATTTAAACATCTAACTTATTCTTTTTTTCTTTATTATTTGATAATTGAAGATTTGAATTATATATTGGTGTTAAATGAAGATGATTATTATTTATAGCTGAATATGTAGATTGATTAATATTTATTTCTTGTGCTATTTCATGAAGTAAATCAATTAAAACATCACTATTTCCATGATCTAAATATTCTTGAAGAAAATTTATAGCATCTAATTGATTATTAATTGTTGTTGTTGTTGTTGTTGTTTCTATAGATGATGTATTTAATTGAGGATTTGTCCAATCAATATAATCAGATTTTGAATTTGATTGATAGATTTGATCAGATAGATTTTGTTTTCTTAAAATTAAATTTGGATTATGTTCATTAAGAATAGTTTTTTCTTGTTGTTTATTAATAGATTTTGAACGTGAAAATAAATTCCATGAAATAAGTGTTGTTGATTGATTAGAATTTATTTGAGATAAGTCATCATCATCATTTTGTGTTGATACTGATATATTATTTATATTAGATTTGATATTTGTGTTAATTGAGAAAATTTTTGGATTAGTAGAAAAGTGTTGAGTATCATTTAATGAAAAATTCGAATACTAATACAAAAGAAAATACTAATTCAATTTAAAGAAAACTTATGAAAGTTGTTAGCGCAACCCCTGTGGAATTGAAATGTGAAAGACCATGTAGTTAATCTGATAAATTATAGGAAGATTACTTTAAAACACATTCCTTCACCACCATTTTATTTAATCTTTTAGAAATGCAGTAAGGAAGCAGTTCATGTAGACGTTATTGATGTACATTCTTCGATCGTATATCAATAACGTCTGTCACAATCTGTGGAGATACAAATTTTTACCCCTATACTTCAACACTCCTTTTAGATCGTATTTCATAACATAATCTTTTGTTTTAATTTTTTTTTAGTTTCAGATTTTTCTTTTATTATAATTTTCATTGTATGATATCAAAATATAACAATAATGATGAAAAATTTCGAATAATTAATTGATATTATTATCAGCAAACTAATAAAGCTGTTCTTTGCTTTCCGTACATGTTATTAAATCATTTGGGTTAATACAAAAAAACCCTGAAAGACAAAATAATGCCGAGAGGAAAACTGAAGAGATTCTTGTAGAAAGATAATAAATAAGAATAGAACATATATAATGTAATGGAAAATCAAAGAAAAATAAATAAAAACATCTGCATGATTATCAATATATATTTTATCTCTTAATTATATTTCGTAAATAAAATATTCGCGTCTGAAATTGTTTAATATATTTTAAACCTCGCTTCTTTAAAATTATTTATAGCAAAATCAATTCAGTCTGCCTTTTGACTTTGTTAATATCAGTTAATGAACATAAATAATTAAATGATTACTATCGATAATTGTAATTCTACAGTTTTGTTATATTAATAACTTTCAATATTGTTTATTCCGGAATCCCAAAAGATGCGTACAACGATTCTGAAGGCACTTGGAGCGAGATGAGAATAGAAGTGTGGATGTAGAAAGATTGATAGTGTCCGTTTTGTTTTCTTATTCTCATGTCTCGTTTCGTGCTCATCTTGCATATATCCATTTATTTCATTTTCAACACAAATAGTTTGTCTTGTTGAGTTAATAACAAAACAAAAAAAATACCTTTTCTATTTTAAATTTTTCACTATTGAACACGTTGTTTGTAAATACTTTAGTCGTCGTTAATTGATTTGAAATCATTTAATAAAACTAGTTATCGAATAATGTCATGCATCTATTTCTTTTTTTTGATGATACCACTGACAAATATTTTACTTTTTATAATATGACAAAAAATGATTACAAATTCAAAGAATTAATCGATTTATTTTTTTGTCTTTTTGCGCGTTAATTCATATATGTATATATTTGGTGTTATTTTTCTTTGAATGCATGTTTTCTTTTCTCTTTATTTTAATGATAATGAGATCTTCAGAAGACAAAGCAGGAAGAAAAAGAAGAATAATGAACAAAAAAAAAGAAAAACGAAACAAAAAAAAAGAAACATATCGAGCGCAAAAACTGACTTTAATTGTATATAATATATTATATGTATGTGTGTATGTTATATAGAAATTCGATCGTCGTTTTATTTTTTGAACAAACACATCGAGTGCACAAAAGAAATAAGAAATGTTTTCTATATGTGAAAGATAGATATTAGAAAGGGAAAGAAAAAGAAGACAAAGAAACATATTATGGTAAGAAAAGAAAGAAAAAAAACACAATAGACAAACAAACAAACAAACAAAAAGAAAAATCATACGTGCATGTTTGTGTAAATGAATAAGATTTATTTGAATAAGTGAAAAAACAAAAAATATCTATTTGTTGCTGTGTTGTTGTTTTTTTTGGCTGCGACAAAAAAAAAAAGAAAATGTACAGTGATCATGATAGTAAATCTCTCTATTGTTTTTTTTTTTTTATTAAATTTTAATTTGTGTTCTTCTATGTTTTTTTTTTAATGGGAATGATTCTTGATAAACACTGTTTTTGTTTTTTTTTAGGAAAAAAAACACACACGCACAAATGAAAAGAAGAAAGTAAACCATGGCTGCTAGGCTAATGAATGAGAATTAGAGAGCCTATACTTGTGTGTATCACAGTCAGACGCTTCTTCATTTCGCTTTTTTCTTTTTTTTTTGTGTTCATGCGTCCGAATTGATTTCATTGTGATAACACATCATTCAGAAACACAAACATACAGAAACAATTAATAAAATACAAAAAGAAGAAACATAGACAAACATACACACATACATGCAGAGCCACCCTATTTTATCAATCATTCATCAAGCTCGCCTACACTACTTTCATCACCGTCTGATTGTACATCATCATCATCATCATCTTCCTCATCAAGATCATCTGATTGCTCGGATGCATCATCATCCGATTCATCTGGATGAAAATTAACTGCACCATGTAAAAATTGTGGATGTCCAACAGCAGCTGATAAGAAATTACCAAAATCAGCTGGATGTGTACGAAAATCAAAACCAACGGCACCAGCTTGAATTGCCGATGGACTATGTTCATTACTACTACCATAAGCAAATGGTTCTTCTGAATACATAAAACCTTCAGCAGAATTACCAAATAAAGGTTCACCAGTAACCCTATAATAGAGAAAAGAAAATTTGTTTAAAAACAAATACAAACATTTGTTAGTATTGAACATCTTAGAAGAGAAGAAAAAAAAAAAGAATTTCATGATAGATTTATTAATTATAATACTTGTTCTCTATGATATATGATTATTCATTATAGAACAGTTGCTAGATTATTGATTAAATAAACTTACCATGGATTCATTAAACATTCAGCAGCAGTAGCACGTAGATTAACATCATAATGAAGCATTGGTTCAAGAAAATGTGTAAATTCAATAGCTTCATATGGTGGCCATTTATATTTTTCAGTTAATACATGAAATAAATCCCATGGTTTTAATTGTTTTATATTACGTAATTGTCCTTGAGAAAATCAAATTCAAAGGATTTAAAAGAAAAAAAAGTGATAAGAATGTTTTGTTTTCTATTTTACCTCGTTTATTAAAAAATTCTCTTGAATATCGACCTGAATGAGCTATTTCAATAGGTATTGGACCTAATAATTCAATAATATGTGCAATATGATCTTCATCTCGACTATAATCTTCTCCACTATGTGGTTCAAATAAATAATCGCCAGTAGCTAATTCAAATGCCATACAAGCGACACTCCATATATCAGCTGATGTATCATAACCAGCTCCAAGTATAACTTCAAGTGAACGATATTGTCGTGTTTGAATATCTTCTGTAAAATGTTGATACTAGAAAAAAATAATAAAAGAATATCAAATAAACAATTTCATTTGATTTTTATTATACTTACTGTCCAACAAGCATTTCCTAAATCAGCTATTTTAACTTGAAGTATATCTTCAGGTACAAGCTCAAAAACTGGATTTGGTGTTCGTTCAGCCATTGGTCGAGCTATAATCCCCCACGAAAAAAGTTAAAAGATTTATTTTGTAAATAAATACAAAAAAAAAAGAAAAACTTACGTCTGGACGTCGCATCCGATTCATTAGACGTTGTTTGTTTATTTGAATCTCCTGAAATAGCAGCTGCAGCAGCCATAGCAGCTTGTTCATTAAGTTCTTGTTCTATATTATTATTATTATTATTTCCATTAGTTAGATTTGTTTGTTGTTCTTTTTCATCAACATTACTAGATTGAATTATAGGATTATCTTCATCACTTTCATCTGATTTATTTTCTGGTTTTTCTATTGAAGAATTTTGATGACCATTCATTTTTTGTTCACCGGAAATATTTTCCGAAATATCTATATAGAATAAATAAACAATAAAATTATAGAACGAACAAAAACAAAAGAAAACTAAACAGATAATTTTATTTACCTGGCTTTGATTGAGTTGTTTGATCAGTAAGAATCATTTTATTTAAATTAATTTGATTAGGTGAACTTAATAAATTTTGTTTTTGTTTTTCTGCATCCTGAAAAAAGAATAATAATAATAAAATTTATACATATATATGTTTTTCTTTTTCGTACTTGAATTTGTTGTTGAGTAAGTTCTAACATTTTTTGTTTTTGTTTTTCTTTTTTCTTTAATTTTTTCTTCTTATTTTTTGACATCGTTTTTAGATCTGGTTTGTTTACAATATGTGCAGTAGCGACTATAAATAAATCAATCAATCAATCAGTAGATAAATATTTATGAAAAGAATAAACGATTTATACCAGCAGATCCAACTGGTTTAATACCAGGTTTATGCCATTCAGCAGCTTGATAAGCCAAAGCACGTACATGTTCTTCATCAACACACATTAGTACATTTTCAGGTTTGATCTAAAAACAAAAAACAAAAAAAAAATAAAATAATAAAAAAAATAAAATCAATCTTCTTTGTTTATTTTAATTACATCCGTATGAATAATCTGACATTTACGATGAAGATAATCAAGACCTTGTAGTACTTGTTTAGTAATTATTTTAACATTTGGTATTGGTATACCACGATAATTTGAACGTATTATTAATTTAAGTAAATTATGTCCAAGTACTTCAAAAACCATACATACATGTGTACCATTGACACCAGCTACTTTAAAATCATCTAATAATTGTACACATTTAAGACGATATGGATCAGATGGATCACTTTCACGAACATGTGTTAATAATTTTATTTCATCTAATGCTGTTTCAGTATAATGTTTAGCACTTTTTACAACTTTCATTGCAACAAATCTTGCAGATTTACGATCCCAACATAACCATACAGTAGAAAAATGACCTTGATTAAAAAAAAGAATTCTGTTTTTTTTTATTTTTATCTTTTATTTTTTAATTTTTACCCCATCCTAATTTTCGTATAACATGATAACGTTGATTAAAAATAGAACCTATAGTTATCGGATGATAACCACCTTTACAATAATCTTTTGGATCTTCTTGTTCATCATCATCTGAACCACGTATGTCATGATTTCCTTCTTCTTCATTGTCACTTTCAACATTAATTGGAACAGTTAATGGACCATTTGTATGTGCTATATCTGTCATTAAATTACCATTATTACGTAAAGCTCTAGGAAAATACAAATGATATATTGTTTTTTTTAATCTATTTTTGAATAAAAATAAAATTACGACGTAGGAAGTGGAGCACTCGATGACAAGCCACCACTACTTGCAATTGTAAATGATGACTCCGATTGTGGTATAGGAACATATTCTGTTTGAATAGTTGGTGTTAATGGTGTTAACGGTGTTACAGTTGGTGTTGATGGTGTTACAGCTGATGGTGAAGGAGTTGTACCACTAGCAGTAGTTGTAGGTCTAATGAAGCAATGAAATAAAATAAAATTTGTTTTAATAGAAAAGAAATTATGTATATTATATTGTTTCTTGTTATCGAGAATCGATTCAATATGATTTAACCTTGACGACTGTATATATATATATATATATATCTATATGTGTATCTCACCTACTTATTATTG